CTTTAACTGAAAAATGAGTGTTTACTATTGTCACTTTGCATTATTGACACTATTTTCCTAATTAATGCTGTTCAGTTGCTTTGACACAATCTGTATTGTTAAAAGCGCTATATAAATAAAGGTGACTTGACTTGACGCACACTCACTCACTCACTCATCACACACACACACACACTCACTGACACGCACGCACGCACACTCACACACATGCACGCACGCTCACTCACACACACACTCACACGCACACGCTCACTCACACACTCATCACACGCTCACTCACTCACACACACACTCACTCATCACACACGCACGCACACACACACTCACTTGCATGCACACTCACTCACTCACTCACTCACTCACTCACTCACTCACTCACTCACTCACTCACACACACAGTCACTCACTCACTCACTCACTCACTCACTCACACCCACAGTCTGAAGCAGTGACTGATTCACTCCTGTCAACATGCCTTGACTCTGAATGATCGCTTTAGAAGAACAGCCACACCTGACAAACATTTTCAGTATCAAATCTGTACTATCTACCATTTTAAATATTATATTGATTATATATTTACATTTTCCAATCTGCATGAATAATTAGTGCATATTGCACCCTGAAGGGGTTTATATTGCAATATTATGTTGATCTTATTTTTTCTTTTTTGACTTTATAAAACTGCTTTTACATATTCAAGATTTATTCAGTGCTTTAGTTATATATTTAGAGAAGTGTCACACATTTTGTTGAGGTCAGGGGTCAAGCTCTTGCAAATTAATCATGATTAAGTGTCTGCAGTCAAAGAAATAATTGCTTTGATCAGATTCTTGACTAATAGTTCCAGAGGGTCAATTTATATGAGTTATGAATATTATTATGAATGCATGAATGATCAGTGTGCTGATTAATGGACGGCTCACCTGATTCTTCTACATGTCAAGACTATCAGATCGCTCACTCACTCACTCACACACACAGTCTGAAGCAGTGACTGATACACTCCTGTCAACATGCCTTGACTCTGAATGATCGCTTTAGAAGAACAGCCACACCTGACAAACATTTTCAGTATCAAATCTGTACTATCTACCATTTTAAATATTATATTGATTATATATTTACATTTTCCAATCTGCATGAATAATTAGTGCATATTGCACCCTGAAGGGGTTTATATTGCAATATTATGTTGATCTTATTTTTTCTTTTTTGACTTTATAAAACTGCTTTTACATATTCAAGATTTATTCAGTGCTTTAGTTATATATTTAGAGAAGTGTCACACATTTTGTTGAGGTCAGGGGTCAAGCTCTTGCAAATTAATCATGATTAAGTGTCTGCAGTCAAAGAAATAATTGCTTTGATCAGATTCTTGACTAATAGTTCCAGAGGGTCAATTTATATGAGTTATGAATATTATTATGAATGCATGAATGATCAGTGTGCTGATTAATGGACGGCTCACCTGATTCTTCTACATGTCAAGACTATCAGATCGTTCTCTTGAAATAGAAACGTCTGCATTATACATGAGCACTAAAGAGATGCCATGGATCATAACGGAGGATTTCAGCATAACAAGCCTGAAATGGAATCTGCACAGCAAGATCTGTGGGGATGAGTGAAGCTCACCAAGAAATGTCTCCAAAAATAGTCAGTTATATTTCACTTAAAGAAAGCAAAGCTCATTTTTAGCACCATTATGATGCGTTGCTTTCTGACAATGTTATTACCGGTATTTAATAAATAATACATATTATTTATTTTGCAGAAGTGGCATTATCGATTACTTACAATCCAGATGGGACATACAGTATGGAGGTAAATCCTGTAAAATGCACATCTGCATTGTCAAAGCAAAAGTATAGCAGGATTGTTTGAGAGATTCCACATAGTCTTAAGTTAGGGGTCATCATGTACTAAACATGAATTTTCACATGTTTTGGGATCATTTGTGGTTGCTAGACTGGAGGTCAGCTGTTTCATGCATCGGGAGCTGCAGCTGGAGGGGGAATTTAACCACATTAACATGACAAAGCACTTGTTGCAATATGGTTCTGAGAGGTTCACAGATCTGCCAACCAAGCACAAGCAAAGCATCAGCTTTAGTACAAGAAAACAGCAGCACTTGGATTGGAAAAAAGTCAAACTAACTAAAAGTCCCAGTACATGTCGGCCCAGACCTGAAAACTGTATGTGAGGACAGAACTATCAACTAATGATCTGTGTTCATTAAAGAATAAAACCTGGCTGCCTCCTAGTGATCATGTCTTGCCTGTGCTGCAGAATGAAGCGTGAAATCACAGCATCAGTTTTCCTTTCACAAATCCTTTCCACGTCCACAAGTGTGTCTGTCGTTTGATGGGGAGGGTCAAAGCTCTGGAAGACATGACGAGAGACGGGTGGTCAGTGTGAAAGACAGACAGAGAAATTAGCTTTTCCAGACATTGTCTATGTCCCTTACAACCTTGTTTTCACACACAGATTATTAAATATGGTGTCTATCCTGCCTAAGATCCAGTACACCTGCTGTGGCGCCATCAGACAGGTCGCCCGTACAGTCCTCAAAGCACAACATGCTCAAGGAAATGTAGTCATCATCATTAACAGCCACAGCAAAACTCGTCACACACTCAGTTAAGAGCTGAGAAACATGAGGAGGATCTAGACTTACCTGAACTAAGATGGTGAGAAAATAAAAATGCTTGATTATTCTGAACTGCTCAAATTCTTGTGGTCAGAGATCCTGCAAAGAGAATACAACAAGAGTGAACAGCATTTTTCTATAAAAATTACAGAGCGGGAAACAACCTCCACCAAACCTTTCCTGTAGCTGCTTGTTAAACAAGCACAACGCTGAAAATTCAAATACACATAACATTATGTCCGTGGTAGTAGCAAAGAAACGTTTCTTGTAACGGAATAATCAAAATTGTGGCCAAAGAAGTGTTTGCCGTTTATAGCGTAATCTGGCATGATATTTACGTGATTATAGGCAACTATAGAAGCCTATTTTACTTGCTTTGTGCCAACCAATCCCGTCCTTTTTACCAGGTGAAATATGTAGTAACATAGCTTCTGCCTCACAATCACTTGATTGCACTCATGAGGGTTATATTTGACAGATTATAGCTCATGCAGTCCTTTTTTACCTGTTGAAATACCTTTAAATGGCCAATACAAGCCATAAAATGCAGTTTTACACTTGCCAAAAAGTGAGACTCTACTTATTGACTCAGACATCTGTAGGTTTCAGCGCCATAGAGAAACATTGGACGATCCAAAGCTTTCATCGTTTGATGGTGTTTATGCTTTAAAAAATGGCAAAGCGATGTGCTGGGGTCCTAACACTGATTCCAGGTGTAGCGTCTGGACTACTCCAACACACAATATATATTTTGTTAGCTAGCTTTCACAAATACTTTGTAACACCCCAGGACGCCGAACAAGACCCTGGTTTCATGATGCGGGACACTTGGCTGTTTTCCATTTAATATCTGTATACATAAAGCAGGCACATTGATATTTGCTTACACATTTAATTTCTAACATTTAAGTCTTTAGATAAAAAAGTTTTTAAGTTCATGAGACACAAATTCAAATGCGTCCAAACTTTTGTCAGTAACGGGAGACGAACACACACACACACATGTCTGGTCAGCTATCCTTGTGGGGACTCTCCACTGGCGTAATGGTTTTTATACTGTACAGACCGTGTGTTCTATTGCCCTACACCTAAACTTACCCCTTACAGGAAACTTTCTGCATTTTTAGATTTTCAAAAAAAAGTCTGTACGAACCACAACTCGGGCTGGGTGTACAGGTAGGCATCTTAGGGTAGGAGGCTACAGGTTTTTGAGCTAGCGCTACATGGCGCTCACATTTAATACCTTGAAAATCAGGCAATTAAAAGAGGGAATTATGGCTTCAAAAAGACCCCCTTGTTTTCCTCAGAAAAGACGGTGGCCCTTTGCGTACAGTTCCGTGGGTTTGCTAGCAGCGGAAACTCAAGACACACAAATCCTTTGGTTTTTGCAGGAGCCGTGCCTGTCCCTTGTTGCTGATCACGTGACGTGATGCACTGAGCAAGATATTTTAAAGTGTGACAGTCTGGCTGGTGACTGGACAAGGGCAGGGGGGCGGGGTAAAGGGCAGGCGTCTCCAGACTCTACGAGCTGATCCTTATTGGGCTGGTGCATTAACAATGAGAGACCTCCATGGGTGAGAGTGTCAGGATGCTCCGGTCGTTGGAGAAGAAGGTGTCCGAGTCGCTCCAAGATCTGGAAGGATCAAGGAAATTGCGAACAGTGAGGGGGACAGAGTGGACAGTTTGGAGATGTCAATTCAAAGCTGCTCTACAGTCTGACTGACTGAGAGGGACGTTCATGACTAGTGTGGGACCTCAATACTATAGGGATGCACAATATATCATTTTTTTCAGTGCTATCAGTTTGATTAATATCAAGCTATTTTTTCACCAATTCAAACAGGTTATAAAAGTAATATATTGTTTTTCTATTTAAAAAAATTGTGTAAAACATCTGTTATGCTAATCATTAACTTGTATTATGACTATATCCAGGCATCAACCATTAAGAAACATGATGTATTGGTCAACGAGTAATTGTGAACATTTGTTTTGCAGATAAAACGGTGTGAATTTATAAAAATAAATAATTAATGGCCATTAAGTCTTACAAGATTTAATAAAATATCCCTTAAAGGGATAGTTCACCTAAAAAGGAAAATTGTGTGATCCCTTACTCACCCTCATGTCATTCCAAACCCATAAGACTTTCGTTCATCTTCGAAACACAAATAAAGATGTTTTAATAAAGGAATTTGGTCCCTCCATTCAAAGTCTATTACACCAAAATTTGAATGCTTCAAAAAGTTAAAGATATCATATAAGTATCAAAAGTAACTGACCAAGACACATAAAGCATATCAAATATGGTAAACAGAAGCTTAAACTTGCTTATTTGAAGAGTGAGAACCAATAAGGTTTGTTCTCACATATGGCACAAGCACTGTTGTGCTTTTGTTTGATGAACTTTTTCAAGCAACAACGTTTTGGTGGAACAGAATGGAGGGAAAGAAATATCTCCAATTTGAACAAAATCTTAACATTCATTTTGAAGATGACCAAAAATCTTTTGGGTTTGGATTAACATGAATAACAAGGGTGAATAACTGATGACAATTTAAATTTTTGGCTGAACAATCCCTTTAAAGGGCCTTAATGACATCCTCCAGGAAGTGACATCATATTGGTGGAAAAACAGTAGAGCAAACAGATTTGATAAACTCTTTGTTTTGTGGCATTATTTGGCTTGTCTCACTTTAAAATGACTAAATGATTTGTATTTAGTCAAAGATATAATGGTTAAAAAAAGATTAAAACGAACTTCAATTTGACACCTCACTAAGGAATATCTAATTTTAGCTCTTGATTTCCATCCTGTTAGGTTCCATAATGTTAAATGTCTTGTGATTTTGTAAATGGGTTATTAATTATTGGGCTACCAGAGTATATTCCTGAAAGTCCAGTATACTTCTTTACAAGAGTGTTCCTTTATCTGTGCATCCCTTATACATCTCTCTTTAACTAACAAACTCTTTGTGCATGAAGATCAGCAAGCAACAGTCAAGAGTCACAGCCAATGGAGAAATGGATGAGTGTGCGTTAGTACAAGATGGGTTAATGTGCATGGTTAAAGACAATAAACAAATACAAACACAACATCCTTCCACAGCCTTGACAATCACATAGACTACATTCTTATGAATGTATTAACATTTTCCTAGCCAGAATATGTTGGGTATGGCAACTATATGTGAAAAAGATCATTTACAGTATATAAGTAAATATTAGGGGTGTAACGGTACACAAATATGACAGTTCGGTACGTACCTCGGTTTTAACGTCACGGTTCGGTATGATTTCGGTACAGCAGGGGGAAAAACTAAACTTTTTTTTATTTTTTATTTTTTTAAATGGTTTACTGAACAAGTTGCTCTTTCTTTAATTACATTCAGTTATAGTTTAAATTTTCTTAGTGATAAAAATCTACCTCAGCTTATGCTTAAAACTATAGGGAGCCCTTTTATATTATAAGGTTACAATTAGGCCTAAAAACTTAACCCAAACTTAAATTTAATTGCTGTTTATTTTTAAATAGATGATCAACACTCAACTTAAAAAAATAAAAAAATAAATAAAAATTGTATGCAAACATGTAAATTGCACATAATGCAGTTTTTAAATGACCTTATAAATAATACAATTTCTAAGCTATTGGTTAAAATATATTCAATTACACAATGGCTGTCATACCATGTTTCATAACAGATTAATTTAAACATACTGTACATTAAGTAATTAAGACTAACAAGTTTAGTAAAATATAATGAGTATATGGTGTAATATTTCGCAAAATGCTCCTCTCTAGACTTTATTTCTCTAGTGATCTAACGAGCTGTGGACACTGATGACTTGCTGAGGTAAATTAAATGCTACGTGACATTTTATTTCCACGCTGTATTGTTGATGTCTTTCCGCGGTTGAAACACTGATTGAGCAATTACATGAGGCATGAGATGTTCAGTCATGTTTATTCACGTTAAAACTAGTAGTACAGAGGAAGGAATGATCGCGTTCACTCGCGCTTCGCTCTGCACAAATCTGCGGGGCGTCACGGCTCAGACACGGGAACCGGAGCTGATCGCGACCGCTCTATTCAGTGCTTGTGTTGGGATTATACCAGCACGTTTCTGAACCGTCCCAGAAGCGGCTCTCTAAGGCATTTATACAGCGATCTGTCATGCCACATAAAAGACGGTCAAAACGGCATTTATTATTTGAATTTCCTGAGAAGAAGAAGAAGAAAAAAAAGCTGTATTCGTTCGTAAACGGTTCGGTACGAATACGTGTACCGTTACACCCCTAGTAAAAATACAAACTAATCCGTAACATAAATCTATTGCTTGCAGAAAAATATGAGTATATAAGTTCACTATCAAATTTTTATTATATCTGTAAATAGTGGAATTAAGCAGCCCTTGAGGATCTGAGCCGTTCCAAAGCTGTATTCTTCAAACGCCAGATCTGCTACTCTTGAACACCAGAGGGCATTGTCTTCAACCAATGGACTAATGCCTTAAAGTACAGCCATATTACAAATAGATCCATGCTATATATATAAGATAAAGAATACATTGATAGCTACAGTAATGCGATTATCTTTGGATAGAAAGAAGTGGTAGAGGGCAAAATTAAATATACCATCGTCGTATTTGCAGATGAAGACAACCGTTTTAAGACCTTGAAGAGGTAAAAAGTTTAAATCAGAGTGTATATTTGCATTTATATGGTATATGCAGCTTACTGGCTTCATACGGTAATAAACAATCTCCTTCCTTCACTGTCTACAGCAGTGGTTCTCAACTGGTTTTGCTTTAAGACCCGGATTTTGCTGTTGACATCACATGTGTTGACCCAGTGTACCAAGTACCAAAATCAGACCTAAGTGCACTGGAAAAAAAATGTTCAAGGTCAAAGAAACACTAATAAATTGTTTGTTTTTGAGGATGAGGGCATGTTGGCATCTGCCTATTAAAATATATGTGTTTTTTAGAGCCCAAGCACCGAAGGTATGATGGCACCTATTGTATCCGTTAGTTTTCTTCTTCTTCTGCTTTTGTGTCTATGGTAGCCCAAAGAACTGCTTGAGGGAAAGTTATGAAATTCGGCACACAGATAGAGGAGAATCTCAACATTAACCATAGCATGTTTATGCTATAAACTGTTTATGTTGTTAACTTTTTAACTGTAAAGTTTAGAGGCAAAATTCTTAGTCCCCCTTATTCCTTGGCTCATGTTGGGTCAAATGCATACCAAAATTAAAATGTCTACAGGTCAAGATTTTTCGCAATTTTTAATTATTCAAAAAACCTACTCATCTGATTTTAACCAAAATTGGCTTAGATCATCTTCAGACCATGCTGGCAAAAAGTTATTAAAAGCTTTTTGATAAACCAAGCCGTTCTCAAATAATGTGCTTGACACAAATTTGACGAAGATCATGCCAAATTGGACATGAGGCAATAAGTATGCAATGTTTTAGCATATTCAAACCAAAATTGGTACATGTCATCATAAGCATCACCTGAGGCTACATGCAGCATTTTGGCACAGTGTCACCTACTGGTCAGGAGATATGAAAAATGGCTATTTTTGCTTATAACTTCTGAAGAGTTTGTCCAAAACTGGTTTCTTCTGATTCAGTGCAGTATGCCGAACAGAATGACACCCAATATTCCCATATTGGCTATTTTGAATTGATCATAAAATGCTGCATTTTTTACGAAAGCATTAGCTTATTGTCTCAAAACTAGGTATGTGTCATCGGGACCATACTCTGACGGTACTTAAAAAGTTTCAGAACAGTGCCACCTTCTGGTCAAAATGAATAATGAAACAATGATGAATAGTGACGCAGACAGCACACACAAACACTAACACATGCTGAAATGAGTGCTGTGCCTGCATGTGATGAGGAGATTGTGAATAAAAAATAATGATATTAGTCGAATTTAAAATAAACATTTGCATTTGAATGTTAGGCGTGCATCAGGGAGCGTCATCAGTGGCACACGAGATGCGGTGATAATGATGTAAGTGACGTTGTAGCATTTTAATGTTTTGTTAGTCTAGCCCACGAGACGCGCCGCTGCTGCGTTATTCATTCAAAATATTAGAGAAATATTATAGAAGCTCAATGCGCAGAAAATCTTGATTAGGTGAAAACCGAAAAACAGCTTAGAACATGTGATTTATTTTTGGCTCATGACCCACCAGTTGAGAACCACTGATCTTAAGACATATGGAAGAAAAGCAGTACAGATTACTGATAAATGCAACAACATATAATCGTTTAGATGCTTCATTTGAGATCGTAAAGACGGAGACAGTAAACAAACAGCGATAAAGCAGAGTAAGGTGATTAGTAGTACTCTGGGAGGACGCACACACTCTCTGGGATTCGCCCACCACTTAACACACTGAATATGAAACGCTGCCGTCATGCAATAAGACAGATTGATTCGACTTCCGTAAGGCTTCAAGTTTAACGTAACCAAAAAAGATGAACGGAAACCATCAAGAATCCTCTTGGAGACTACAGTTAGCAGTGTCTCACTCAATCACGATGTGGTCCCTTGTTGAGTTTTTCTTTTCGATAAATGAGCCGATAACAGCGGCGGTAGCTGTTGACCGTGGCTACCGTTGGCCAGCCAAAGCAGAGGTCTTCTCTAGTACCCTGCGCTTCAATGGCAGTGTTCTAGCTGTTAAACTGGAACAGGAATCTTATATTTAGCGAAACCAGGTCTCCGTGTACTCATCTCAACACTGCAGAGAAATTTTGGAAGCGCCCTGCTTCCCAAAGTGCGGATACAGACAGTCAAAACGATTACGTGAAAAGCTGAGGCTTAGGAGTGCATTACGGTCACATGCCATCACAAACCCCTCCACGGAGAGGTGGTACACATGCAAGGCAAAGACTAACACGCAGATTCAAACAATTGAACAGGGATGCAATGTCTCAGAACACGTAATGACAGGATGTTCCATGGATCAAGTCATATAGTCCAACATTCGACGAGCATATACTTGCATAAACTGGTACTACAAACGTTTGCCTTGCTAATAACTGGGTGTGATGTCTGAGAATGAGGATGACGAGACAGCTTCATCGATTATGGACTCATATGGAGGCACAAGATCTTCAGCAGAGAACATTTATCTGCCACATAGAGAAAAGACACGATAAGCGACACCAGCAAAGAAGGACGCACCTTGAAAGAAGGTGAAGACGATGAAAGACGAAGACAATGGGTTGGAAGGGCTGATTCAAAGTAACTTCATGGCAATTTTTACGCTTCCTTGTATACGTACGTACCTGGAGCATCCCAGGCGATGAAGCTCGCTTGAACTTCTAGCTAATCTTTGTTACATTAAAGGCAAATGAATGCACCCGTTTCGTTCTTAAATTCTACATTGTGATCATTAGGGAATGCTTTGAGTGCACTGGCGGCCATCACTCGTCCGGGGCCGCAGGCTCGTCGTGTTCCAGCTTGTAGGAGACGTGCTTACAGCAGAGGCTAGAGAGAGAGAGGTCGCACCTGGTGACCCGAGCGGGGTCGCAGCGGCCCATCATTCGCTCCACCAGCCGGCCCAGCCGTGAGCAGGCGTTTTGCCCCTCTGAGAAACAGCACATGGAGTCCACGCATCCGATGCCCTGGTAGGCCTCAATAAACTGGAAAAAAAGAAAGAGAGATGTCAGCCAGAGCACGAAAGAGATCAAACCAAATGGTTCCCAACAAACATCTTCAATCTGCACTGATCTGATGTCCATAATGGGCAATGACTAGATGTCTTAATATTTTGTCATATTGGACACTCTGTACATATCAACTTTAAAATTTATTATTTGTCCTGTATTTTACAACAGCACTTCCACAAAAAGGGCACAAAATTGGCCTTGAAACTGAAGGGGTTTAAAAGGGCCTCGCTCTTTATTTTGTAATAAACATCTATTGTTATTTGAAGTCTCCAGTAGTTTGTTGTTTCATCTCTTTGGTTTCTTTTTTAACTGTGAAACAAAGGCACAGGCCAGTGTTGCCACCATGTAGGCTAAGTAGTGAAAGAAAATCAAGGCACATGCACAAGTGCATGCAGATTATGCATGGTTGGAAACATCAAGTTGAGCATGTTCAGTATGCACCTATGGTAAAAACCGAAGTACACTTTAGGCTTAAAGTGATGTGACTGGAAACAGATTTCCATGCATAATGTACAGACTTCACTTAAAGATAATGAAATTTGTCATAGATTACTTCCATCGTCCATTATTTTTTTATAGATAGGTTGCTTCAGACCTAATTAAATAGATCATTCCACCACAATGGAGTTGCAGATTTGGCTACATTAAGCTATCACTCAGTGGCTACGTAATTGGGACCAAATTTGGTTTGTAGTTAGTGATAAACTTACATTATCCTTAAAGAAAAATATTAATTTGATCATATTTCTTGCAGTAACTTACTTCGAGAATAACAAAGTTGATAATTTAATATCAATGATTAATCAGTGATCAAAATGTTCCCCTACAATGCATTAAATGTCAATTCAACAGATTATGTTAGAGAAGTTGGCCAAGACTACACATTTTTTGAAGGGTGTGAAGGGTTGTCTTTATTGCTTAAAAAAAAAGAAGAAATAGTACACCAATTTGTACCCAATTTGAGGAAAGGGCCACATGTTTAATAACACCTGAACAGAGCCTCAAATACAGGACATCTGGTCATACCAATAATGAGAGACAGCTTGAACACTGAACTCAAATCATAAATGCAGTGCATGGTTTTACATATAAAACCAGTGGTGGAGCCAGAGGAGTCTCCAGGGTGGCACTGGACATCCCTGACATCTGATCGGCCACCCGAGGTGGCACCCCAAAATTTTATATGCTACTATTACATTTTCTTTGTTTAATTTTACTGAAAGAATAATTTATTTTAGCCTCAAACTCAAGGATGCGAGGCATCTGGAGTGCTGCATCACGCTTCATCTGGTCCGGTGGAGCTTCCAGGCTCTGCTAACTCTCCTGCCACACGGTCATTTTCTTACGGAGTGAAAAACATTGCAGAGCAAAGATGACACAGACAACGCACTGAGGGACAAGACAGAGCAGGCTACTTTTGATAATAGGAAACAAAGTCTCAGCATTCAAATTCTGTTAGTTTTATTAAGAATTTCAAACGATAAACAGAGTTTTGGAGCTCTTTAGTGGCGCTCCTGCTTTGTCTCAGTTCAAGCGAAGCAGGAGTGCATTATAATTAGCATGAAATAAACATGAATGAACATCTGAGGCGTGTTGAAAGATACACTACAACTTACTGAAAGTATAGTGAATCATCACTCAATCAGTGTTTCAACCACATAACCTTAGAAAATCCATTCAGTGTCCATAAACTAGCGAGCAAAATGTACACTAGAGAGAATTTTACAAAAATTACATTTGTTATATTTGTACTCATATAATTACTCTTTTTTTTTAAAAATTATAATTAATAAAAATGTATAGATGTTATTATAAAAATGGTTTAATATGAACTTGTATGCAAATCGATTATTAGTTTTAACTTTAACAATAGGGTTCCCTGTATAGTTTAGTTTAGAAGAATTGAGAAAAAATTATGTAATTAATCGCAGGCTTGTTTATTATTCCTGAATAATTCTCACTCCAGGCTGTACTCAGAAGTTGGCAGCCCTGTTTGAAGTAAGCTGAAGTTTCGGGTTTCCTGATTAACATTTACAAAATTCACTGTATAAGTTACTGTTAGATCTTTTGCTCCAACCGCTGGATAATCAGATGATAGAAATAAGAGAAATAAGTTCCAATAGACTAACATTTGAAGTTACTGTAGGAATGTATAGCTAATGTGCATGGGGTAATGTGAAGTAATCAGCAATCGTAGGATTTATTCATGCTTTTTTATGCCAGGTTGGAGTTATACGCTGATTTTCTGTCATGGTCTATGGACCCCCTGAACTAGCCTTGGCCACCCATGTATAAAACTCTAGCTCCGCCACTGTACAAAACGTGAGAGTCTGGATTGGAATGAGACAATAAATGACCAAAAAATTAATACATTAGAATGATAAATGATGCCGTCTCTTCAGAACCACAGACATCCTTGGCCTCGACAAAAATTACAGTTCCCTTTAACTCAATATTCAATTACTAAGACGACGCTAAAGACCTGCATGTTAAATTACAGCCCGAGTGCTACAACAAGACTTTATTCAAATCAGATTCCCAATCAAATGCACACAAAAACCAACCAAGGAGGAAAAACATTGCATGCAGCCAGAATTGAGAAAGTCAATTCTTTGATCTCTCTCAGGCAACCTGACTAGGCATTATGCAAACTACTAATATTAACATTAAATCCCTCTGGACTCACTTCAGCATGCCTTGCAGAATTAGTCTTGAGACAAATGTGTTTGTTGACTAATGCATAAATGAGGACGTTAGTTGCACACTTTGTCCTAGCATCTACAAGGAAGGATGCTTGACAAATGCCCTACTAGCCTCCACAAATACTGTGAACTATAATGACAGACACGTTCAGTCACGTCACAAATACAGTCCATGTTTCCTTGATGTTTCTTGTTAACCTGAGTTTGACCATGTGCTGGGTTAAAGATTTAGCTATTACAACATGGACCTTGGCAGTTCTGCTAAAAAAAAAAAAAAAAAAAATCAATATTAGCAGGAAGTTGCAGAAAGATTAAATGGCGCATGACTTCAACAGTGTCCTGAAACTGTAAATAAAGAGGCAGTTCAAGCTAAATGTGCAGTTCTAATCAAAAGCAGAACCTGTCCAGTAATTTCTGGAGGCTATGACTAACCACCAAATGACAAATGATGCTGCTGTCATTTCATCTCAGTTATAAATAAATGTGCTAACTAGTAATAAATCACATTCTCCGGCGTAATGCCTGTAGAGGTAAGAGAGTCACGTGAATAACTGTGGCTGAAACTGTTCAAGGACTCACTTACTGGAGCTAATGATCAAGTTTTTGGTCTCAACCCAAGTTTAATTGAGCAGTACATACCTGAAATAGGAAAACTGCGTTTAAACAGACCAGACAAACCAACCTGTGATGTGAAACGTAGGTTTTCAGTAAAAGCACTAGTGTGGAAATGCGAGTAAATCTCCTAAACAATCGTTTACTGTGAGTACTGAATACAGAAGTCTCTCCTGAACTCGTAATGGTTGACATAATAACAACATTTAAGCATCTTGCAGCTGTGAACCAAAAACATGGAGGCCAACAGTTGGCAATTTCGTTTGGTGTCCAAACAATTTGACAATTCATTAGGGTTGCAACAACTACTTCATAAAATCGAAAACAAAAATAAACCAGCAAATTGATTTATCAGGTCTGTGTGTTGTGCACAGAAAATATCACCAATCATTCCACTTTACAGTAGTGAGCAGCGCATTTCTTTAAAATAGTGGAGGACACTGAATTGTAACTAATAAATTAAAATCAATTAATTAAAAAATATTATGTTTGGATTTTTCATCCGATTAATTGAAAGAAATAATCAACAGATCAAGACGTTTTTTTAAATAGTTTGCAGCCCTGCACTGCTAGTTTGGTATATGCATTTAATTCAAGCTTAATTTGTCATTAATTCAGTAAATTCAGTTGTAGAATGCAGTTGCCACTTGTGTAATAAAAACCATACACTGAAGAAAATAAAGCACTCAGGAGTGCAGTGACAACCATATTTGCCTGCAGTGTGTACATGGCCACAGTAAGACAAAAACATGCTCTTATATTATAAACAAAGAGCAGCAGCATAGGCGTTACTAACAACCATTAGTGAATCACAGAGAGCTGTCAGTAACTGTTCAAAGAGCAGCTCATTCAACTGATGATTGATGAAAATACAAACAAATGTTTGTCACATTAAATACAAACACAGTGTCAGTGATGGAGATGATTATGGGAAAAAGAACAATAAATAAGGATGATTAAGGAGACATGGAGACACATAAGGCACTTGAGGCGGATTAGATTAGACCAGCAGAGTCTCCAGCAAATGGATGGTCATGTAACGGACAACGATCTAAGAGACTCATGCCACTCGCTCCTGGTTACATCACGGGGAGAGCTAGTGTCACATGACAGGATGAGTGGGTTGTGGCGGTCACATACTGTACACAGCCTGATGGGGGAAGAGTACTACCTAGGGGAGGGGTGGGCCTGCACCAGAGGTGGAGGAAAAGCAGCGATCAGTGGCCGATTGTCCTCCCCTCTGCTCCCGATTTCAGCAGTGTCATATTCTGAGCTGACTGAAACCTTATCCGCTTCCATCTGGAAGGACAAAACAGTGCGGTAAGTCTCCCAAACGGATGAAAACAGAAGAAAGGTGAACGAGCATGAAACAGCCCCACGTCCACTGCGAGAAAACACTTCTGAATTTGAAGGCTCTGTTCCAAAACCTAGTGAGCTGCCTACATAGACAGCATTTTAAAGCATCGTGGACTTGCTGATGTGAAGTCCGTTTCAAAAGGTGAAGAAACGTTTGCAGAGCAAGCTAATTCCTCCAAGAAACCTTTATAGTTATTATATATAAAAATAGATTGACTATAATTATAATGTACCATTTTAACCAATATTTGTTTGTGCTTCGCATATTTAATATGACGTCACATTTACAACTGCTCTGCAAAATTTTGCACATGACAATAAGCCGAAATGAAAGCAAAAAAATACAGTGAAAGTTATGGGAATAATGACGACAAAATAAACATCCAAAGCTATTCAAACCAACCCTAAAGAACATCTTTCCAAACAGCCTATTTTTTTATGAATGATTTCATAACATTTAAATTTAGTGTTATACAAAAAATGGTTGAGTAGACACCACCAGAATGAGTGCCTCATCCATTTTGGATTTTTGGTTTTGCTTTGTTTCCAAATTACAAATTTCTGCCAAAACAAAGGTCACAAACTTGGGTTTTCAATAAGAGCTCTAGTGTGAAAAAACACCTTAAAATCTTTAAATGCTTTAAAGAAACCTAACCGAATAAGACAAAAAGTCACAAACATGAGGCCTCATTGCAAAAGAGTGACAATCGAATTTCTAAATAGAACAGAAATCTCTACTAAATACAGGAGTCTTTCTTTAACTCACTATGGTTGACATAATACTAACATTTTGGCAGCTTGTGGCTGTAAAACAAACACATGGAGGCCAACAGTTGGCTAAAGAACTCTAAAATAACAATATTTCCGTTTGGATACTGCCTTAGAAGGTAGAACAGGAAGTAGACAGCAAGACAGGTCACTAGGTTTTGGAACGTTTGGAAGCCCAACATCATAGAACTTTTTTTTCTTTTCTTTTTTGACATTTTTGCAGTCAAAAAGTCAAATTAAGATTTTAAGTAAGCCTTTTTACTGATGTCTCGCTGGAGCTGGACTGGAGATCATTTTCTCTGCTCGTTGGTAGAGACTAAAAAACAATTGTTTTGGGAACATGCAGTCTGGATAAACATTTTTCAGAGAAAAAAACTCATTAAAAAGCTTCCCAACACTAGAGTAAAAAAAGCATCTATTAATGGGGCTGTGAGCTCAAGCTCATGCTGTAAGAGGATGCTCTCCAAACACGGCCACGTCTGCTTTAAATCTGACCTCCACAATCATGCACTTGCAGGTACGGGTTACGCATGCAGCGTGAACTGTTAAAGCACGTCAGGTGTTTATTTCGCTCCTTCCCCTCTGTTAGTTCTTCCTCCGCATGCAGTGTGAGAGTGTCTCTCCTACTCTACCTAATCTTGCACAGCTGATTCTTGGCTCTGGACAGAGGCTGAAGTGCGATGAAGTCATCACCTATAGCCACGCGGTTGGTGTACATCTACAGAACACACAGAGGGTCAGTAAAGAGGAGGAAAAGTCACATGTGCAGTTATACACACACACACACACACACACACACACACACACACTGTACACCACAATGCACTCAGCACACACATTCAGAAAGGACAGAGACAGGAAACCTGAAACAAGCAGCAGACACAGAGAGAGTGCACTTCGAAACTATCGGGTGTCATCTGCAGGGCAGCGTGTGCTGACGCCACAGAACCGTACTGCAGCAACTTCAGTTACCGCTCGCTTAGGCAAGTAGAAAAAGATGTGAATATAAGGATTGAAAGAGTACGAAAGGAAGAAAATAAGCGTTTTAATTCTCCTGTGAAGGGTTAGACGCGAGTTAAAGGGGTCATATGATCTTGCTAAAAAGAACATTATTTTGTGTATTTGGTGTAATGAAATGTGTTTATACGGTTTAAGGTTAAAAAAACACATTATTGTCCACATACTGTACATTATTTTTTCTCCTCTATGCCCCGCCTTTCTGAAATGCGTTGATTTTTACAAAGCTCATCAGTCTGAAAAGCAAGGTGTGCTCTGATTGGCTAGCTATCCAATGTGTTGTGATTGGCCGAATTCCACAAGCGTGTGACGGAAATGTTACGCCCCTCACATACTGTGATGCCCTGTCTGGCTGAAGCGACGAGACAAAAACATTATAAATGAGGCATTTGTTGCATTCAGTGGGGACATAATTACTGATTATAATTGTTATATTCCCCACCGGGGAATAATTCCCCACTGATTATATATCGTGGGGAAGTCGTGGCCTAATGGTAAGAGAGTCGGACTCGTAACCTGGTGCATTCCACGAAGGAGCGGCAACCACATGTGACGACCCCAGGGCTGGACTCCGCTTCATCCATGGTGGAAGCCTATCTGGCGATCCACAGCGCAAAGTTGATGTATTCCCTCAGCGACCAGCACAGATCAGCTCTAGGCATGACGAAGCGGATATCGTTCTCTTTTGGAAGGCCAACCAAAGTAGCTTCGCTTTCACAACGAAACACACAGCGCCTTCACGACATGGCGGCGGCAACAATACTACAGCGAGAATAAAAGTTAAGCCTTCTTTCTTTGCATGAACATTTAGGCGGCGTTATGCAAATCTTCCCACATCGTGACATAGATATGTGGGGGCGTGTTAGAACGAGCCATTTTAGGTAGGCGTGGCTGACTCTTAACTTTTATAAAGAATATCTCTTTGGATTTGAGACTTTAGTCTTTGCAACTTTACAGATCTTCTTTATGCACCAAGAGCTTGTAACACTCCAAAGAGAAAGGAAAAATTGAAATCGCATCATATGATGCCTTTAAGATTCTAAAAGAGGTTGGAGCCGACAGCTTTATGTTCAAATCCCAGCTCATGGTCCTCTCGTTTTTGTCACCCCTTGAACTGTCCTATCTGAAAAAAGGCAAAAATGGCCAATACAAAAAAAATAAAAGTGAATAATTGGAGAATACAAATTTGATATTTGGCTCAATTGTATTCATATATAGTCTCTCATTTGGCATAAAACCAAATATTTCCATGTTGGCAAGGTAACATTTGTTTGCTAACCGTATGATTTCTTTTAATCGACAAAGCTTAGCATTTCACTCAACTTTTCATTTGTGAAAAAAAAAAAAAGGTTTTTGCATGCAATCACCAGTCAATCACCAGTGGTACTCAGTCCTATGCAAGACAATAACCTAAAATTAACAACAAACTATAAACCACCCACCCTCCAAATTATGCAAATTTGATATTTGGCTCAATTGTATTCATATATAGTCTCTCATTTGGCACAAAACCAAATATTTCCATGTTGGCAAGGTAACATTTGTTTGCTAACCGTATGATTTCTTTTAATCGACAAAGCTTAGCATTTCACTCAACTTTTCATTTGCGAAAAAAAAAAAAAGGTTTTTGCATGCAATCACCAGTCAATCACCAGTGGTACTCAGTCCTATGCAAGACAATAACCTAAAATTAACAACAAACTATAAACCACCCACACTCCAAATTATGAACTTACAGTTTCACTTATAGCCATAGTATCTTTACCAAATTGAAACTATTTTAAAACTGCAGCTTAGCTTTTGGTGTTTGATTTTTCGCATATCAAAAGAAACGCCGGCGCATAATCAGAGAGTTTATGGCTTTAAGTGCCTGATATACTTTCAAGCAGAATGGAAGAACGAACGGGTGTAACAATCTCAAACAAAGGGTACGTTTACACGACAACGACGCACTAAAAGGGGAAGTTTTTTCTTTGCATTTCTGAAAAGTTTTGTGCACAGACGACAACCGTTTCACAGATACGCAAAAATGACTAAAAATCCTGTATTATTCATGCCAGGCCAGTAGATGGCAATGGCACTTTGTACATAAACACTTCACACCTGTGCACATACTTATACACCGAACATGTGAAAAGCACGTCAACGTTTTCACAAATTCATGTTATTATTATTATAATTTTATTTTGGTAGTTTACACAGATGATAATGGTATCATTTTCAAAAAATGTGCACTTTGAAACGAGTTTTCAAAAGTTTGCATTTTCAGGCCTGTAAAATGCCGTTGTCGTGTAAATGAATCGCCAAAATGTAATTTTAAACACCATCAAGCCGCCATTGGTTCATGATGATAGGCGGGTGTGCTTTGGGGCTCCGGGCTTCTTTTGTGGAAATCTTTTAAGGTTAATTTATAACGAGTAAAAGCATGAATGCATTGAGTGCTGAATTGTAGAGCTGGTGTAAATATATCCACATCCCTATGATCAGACAATCGGATCAAACTTTCATTTTCCCCCAAGTGAAAAACTTCGCTAAAAGCATACCAGGGTCTTTACAGAGGCACCAAACTAATTCAGTAGACTGGAACTCTTGGAGGTTACACGCCATTGATTTAATTAACAATGTGAATATTTAACTTTTTAAATAAAGGTGCTCTATAGAAAACTTGAGAATCATGGAATATCAGTGGAATTGGTGTAGACTACTGAAAGTTTAGTTCTGTGACAATCCTAATCTAAGTCAAATGAGGAATTACGTCACTTAAATGAGGAACTTTAATACCCTGTCAGAAAGGACTTTTTTCAAAATGTTCACACAAATACCTATTTACAGCAAGCAACCTCTAGATTAAGCAAGCAAGCAAGCATGACGCTACAACCTGCCATTGTTTATTCGGATAATTCAACCATGCATCGCAAAGATACGTCACATTGTGAGTCCAGACATAATAAGTGCCCGCTGCAGAGGATAACAAACTATAAACCACCCACACTCCAAATTATGAACTTACAGTTTCACTTATAGCCATAGTATCTTTACCAAAATGAAACTATTTTAAAACTGCAGCTTAGCTTTTGGTGTTTGATTTTTCGCATATCAAAAGAAACGCCGGCGCATAATCAGAGAGTTTATGGCTTTAAGTGCCTGATATACTTCAAGCAGAATGGAAGAACGAACGGGTGTAACAATCTCAAACAAAGGGTACGTTTACACGACAACGACGCACTAAAAGGGGAAGTTTTTTCTTTGCATTTCTGAAAAGTTTTGTGCACAGACGACAACCGTTTCACAGATACGCAAAAATGACTAAAAATCCTGTATTATTCATGCCAGGCCAGTAGATGGCAATGGCACTTTGTACATAAACACTTCACACCTGTGCACATACTTATACACCGAACATGTGAAAAGCACGTCAACGTTTTCACAAATTCATGTTATTATTATTATAATTTTATTTTGGTAGTTTACACAGATGATAATGGTATCATTTTCAAAAAATGTGCACTTTGAAACGAGTTTTCAAAAGTTTGTTGAAACTATTTTAAAACTGCAGCTTAGCTTTTGGTGTTTGATTTTTCGCATATCAAAAGAAACGCCGGCGCATAATCAGAGAGTTTATGGCTTTAAGTGCCTGATATACTTTCAAGCAGAATGGAAGAACGAACGGGTGTAACAATCTCAAACAAAGGGTACGTTTACACGACAACGACGCACTAAAAGGGGTGCAGAAAAGTTTTTTCTTTGCATTTTTGAAAAGTTTTGTGCACAGACGACAACCGTTTCACAGATACGCAAAAATGACTAAAAATCCTGTATTATTCATGCCAGGCCAGTAGATGGCAATGGCACTTTGTACATAAACACTTCACACCTGTGCACATACTTATACACCGAACATGTGAAAAGCACGTCAACGTTTTCACAAATTCATGTTATTATTATTATAATTTTATTTTGGTAGTTTACACAGATGATAATGGTATCATTTTCAAAAAATGTGCACTTTGAAACGAGTTTTCAAAAGTTTGCATTTTCAGGCCTGTAAAATGCCGTTGTCGTGTAAATGAATCGCCAAAATTTAATTTTAAAAACCATCAAGCCGCCATTGGTTCATGATGACAGAGTATCAAAAGAATAGAGATCAGAGCCGCTCATACAGCGGGCAGCGAAACCAAACCAGAGAGACAGCTGCTCATTAGAGAGGACACATGCATCAACTGGAATCCAGTCAACTCTTACCAGTTGCCTGTTAGCTCGCAAAATCTGAGAGCATGCACGGCAAGAAAGAGAAAGAGAGAAGCAGAAAAAGAGAGAGAATATGGATAAGTAGTAAAAGCCAACAGTACGGTACAAATGTGCCAGATAACGGTGTAATTAGTTGGACGATTGAGGCTTTGTGTCTGTAAGCTGGAGTTAATCAATAGTCACTAACATTGTTAACGTCTCACTAAGTGCATTCATTACCTTAAGCGCTTCTAGCTGAATCATTCAGAGAGCATCTCTGAGATCTATACAGAATGCTGCTTTGTGGAGGATATCAAAGACAACTTTCATGCTAGCACAATAACAGTCCTGCCACAGACACACATGAGCGTGAATAAGAGAAGAGGAGAGAAGAAGGAAGTGACGCTGGAGAGACGCTGACCTGTCCGTTTCCCATCAGTGTGGTGTCTTCTCCCATCAGGATGTAGGAGCCAAAGAAGAAGACGAAGGCGTGGCAGAAGCCCAGGAAAGTCCAGTACAAGAAGGTTTTGAAGGACAGCAGGGAGTTTTTACTGATGTCTCTGATGAAGGGAAAGAACATAATTTAATCCTGATTTGTGGGGAAAATAAAACAACAAAACAGGCTCATATTCCCATTACAGCCAACATTAAATTAAAACTGACCCCCATTTACTTTTGGTGCAGGTACTTTTTGTTGTTGTTGTAACTGTTAACTTAAACTATTAAAAATAACTGTAAATAATTGAAATAAAGCTAAAAAATGAGAACTGAAATAAAATAAGTTGTAAGTTGAAGTACTAAACAGTGTAATTTTAGCATCCTGATATACTATTATAGTTTTTTCGGTAACACTTTACTTGAAGGGGTGTGCATAAGATTGACATGTCACCTTCATAATCATGACATGACACATGTTATGAATATGAAGGAGGTTTTATGCATGTTTATGACAACTGTCATTCGCTCAGTTATGTCATTTTTAATGCAAATATGACATTATTTGACCTAACCCTAACCCCACCCCTACCCTTACCCCTAACCATAGCCCATAACAAAGACATCTCAAACAATGTCATCTTTGCATTAAAAATTACATAACTGAGCGAATGACACTTAATGACAGTTGTCATAAACATGCATAAAAAACCCTTCATATTCATGACATGTGTCATGCCATGATTATGTAGGTGTCATATCATGATTATGAAGGTGTCATGTCAGTCTTATGCACACCCCTTCAAGTAAAGTGTAACCGTTTTTTCTTTTTTATATATTTTTTGTTTTCATTTAAATTGTACAATTTTTGTAATTTTGTTGTGTATTTTTGTCATTTTTATTAATTTTAGTTTGTTTTTAAATATGTATTAAAGCAATAAGCCTCGTGAAGCCGTGGTTTACAGTGAATTTATAACAGCTAAGGGGCGTTGTTAGGTACGACACGAAGCCGAGTGCCTAAAACCCCCTCAGCTGTTATAAATTCACTGTAAATCACGGTTTCACGGGGCTTATTGCTTTTATAAAACGGTTATTCCATATACGTAGTAAGTTTTCACAGAATAAAACAGAGCAAATAAAGTGTAATGATAATAAAAACAGTATTCTTCCACCAAACAATGTAGCTCCTCAGAATCAGTTGTGGCTCCAACAAAGTGGTTGCCGAACAACACACAGAAGTAAACAAAGGTGCGCACTTGTAGAGTAATTTACAACAGCTTCGAACGCGGCTCAGCCAATCAGAATCAAGGACCAGAACAATCCGTTTAATAAAAATAGTTTTTATTTAGTTATAGTTATTTTAGTACTTCAACTTAAACTAAACGAAAATGAGGAAATGAAAATAAAGTTTATTTTTTTTTTTTCAGGTAATGTTTATTTTATTTCAAACAATATGACCCTGGTTCTAAATTTACTAAAACTAAAATAAAAATATATTTAAATAGAAATATAATTATTTAAAAAGAAAAACAATAATAACAGTGACAACAATGAAATATGATATAAGACATGATGAATTATTGACTTGAATTATTGAATTATTGACAAAACTTTAAATAAAATTAACACTGGAACTGTCCTGAGAGAGTTGGTTTAATCTTTGGTTTGCTCATTTTATTCACTTTATTACGAAACTATTTTTGCCGTTTTGTGGACTTGTGATTTAAAAATCTGGTTTTCACTATTCTTTTCCCCTAAATAAATAAATAAATACGAGTTTTGCAAATCTTTCAGTGAAAAAAACAAAAACTAATTTGTCAGTCCTGTTGACAGCCCCAGTAGAGAACGGCAGTGTGTACTGTACTGTTGAGGGGTCTCTAGGATCAGGGTTGGGAAGCTCTGCACTTGAGCTCTTCTCCTGATGCTGTACCTGTAAAGTGCTGGTTTGCTCTGCAGAACATGTGGATGCACCAGCTGCTCAAACAGACTGTATACCAGTATGGGCAGAGAGGTGAAGCAGATATTATACAGCGTCAGATACACGCTGTCATAAAGGGTCTGCAAAGCACAAGAGAGCATGTTAAGCATCCACACTAAAAATGAAACGGGACTACGATCACGCACAGTGTCAAAGGTCAAACTGAAGCCTCCAGACTTAACTGACTTCTGCTGATTTCTAAAAGTAAGCAACAGCAAAAATGTGAATGTGTCCACGTCTTGAGTAACGTACTACATTGATATATGTCAGGGAGAGACACTTACTTGTTGTGAGAACAAACAGAAGAACTGGTATAAAAACTGGGGAGTAATAAAGCACACATTCTACAAGAAAACAAAACAGAGCGTCATTAAAACGCAAATCTCCAGCAACAATCACTCCCAGCCTGAAAGCAACACAAACAGCTCCCAACGTACCTTGTAGAAAAAGTATTGCACAAGGGTTGCTATTCTAATATAGTAGAAATGGCCGTGCACAAGCAGCAATTTGGCAAGGAACTTGAACCTGGCGATTGCATAGTCGCTGTTTCTTACGGCTTGTCTTCCTTCTTTGCCCATGATTCCTGTGTGGAGTTTCATTCTGTTAGCGTGATCGGAAGACATTTGAATTGCACGCCACATCTTCTCCTGTTCGGCACCTACCAATACCAACGTGAGCCTCTTGGATCATACTGACGTCGTTGGCTCCATCTCCGATGGCTAATGTAATAGGCTTCTCAGGAGAAGTCTTCAACAGTCTCACCACCTGCCAAACACACCGCAGCCGTTAACACCAGCGCTATGAGAACAAGTCAAGTCACCTGTATTTATACAGTGCCAAACAGGAAAACAGTGTGAAAACAACAGGCCAATGTGGGGCAATTTAGCAGGGACCGGCCATATTAGTGTGCATGACCTCTGGCCTCGTGAGGATAGAGTGAAACGTCAACAATCGGACACAAGGTGTTAGGTGACTCACCTTGGCTTTCTGGAGAGGTGCCATTCTGCAGCAGAGCACCGCCGAGCAGTTCTTACACACCTCCATGAAGAGTTTCTCATGTTCCCGCAGAGCCAGGGAAAGGCTGGCCCCGTCCACGACCAGCCCATGCTGGATCACATGATCCTCTTTGATCCTGCACAAACACAGGCACACATCACACCTATCTCAAACAATCAGTCCTACATATTTATGATGAGCAGGAATGTACAAGAGAAGAATGTGCAAACAGGTTGTACAGGGTAGTTACATAGCAGCAATAGGGGTAAAAAAGAAAATAAATAAAATATTACAGAAATTGCTGAGTGCAAGTGACAATGTCAATATATTAAGTGTCTTACTGATAATTAAGTGAAGTCATGTTGGTGTTAAGGGACTGAGTTTGAGTTTAGGCACCTGATGGCCTGGGGGAAGAAGCTCCTCCTAAGTCTCTCGGTTTTTGCCATCAGGCTACGAAAGCGCTTACCAGATGGCAACAAAATGAAAAGACCGTTACCAGGGAGGTTGAGTCCTTGATGATTTTAACAGCTCTGCTTTTGCAGCGTTTGAGGTAGATGTCCTGTAGAGAGGGGAGAGCAGACCCTGAGATGCGCTCAGCTAAGCACACAACTCTCTGCAGGGCTTTGCAGTCTTGACTGGAGCTGTTCCCATACCACACTGAGATACACTGAAGTCCAAGTCAGGTCCTCGGAGATGTTTACACCAAGGTACTTGAAGCTGCTCACCCTCTCCACTGGGGTCCCACTGATCATAAGAGGAGTATAGGGCCGCTGCTGTCGCTTCCTGAAGTCCACAATCAGCTCTTTAGTTTTACTCACATTCATTGAGAGACAATTGTCGTGGCACCATAATGTGACTTTCTCTACCTCATCCAAGTATGCGGCCTCATTGTTGTTGGAAATGAGGCCCAGAACCACAGTATCATCAGCAAATTTGATGATAGATGTGGAGCTGTGGGAAGACACGCAGTCATGGGTGTAGAGAGAGTAGAGCAGAGGACTCAGGACACAGCCCTGTGGAGCTCCCATGTTCAGGGTGATGGAGTTGGAGGTGAACTGGCCTACTTTCACCACTTGAGGTCTACTAGTGAGGAAATCTAGAATCCAGTTGCAGAGTGAAGAATTCAGGCCAAGGTCCAAGAGTTTAGTAGCTAGCTTGATGGGGACTATAGTTATTGAAAGCTGAGCTATAGTCGATGAATAGCAGCTTTACATTGTTCCCATTGCTGCTATCAATGTGCATGAGGGAAGAGTGCAGGACGTGAGAGATGGTATCTTCAGTAGATCTGTTGGGGCGATAGGCAAACTGAAGAGGGTCCAAAGTATCAGGGATGGAGGAGCAAATGTTGTTCTTTATAAGTTTCTCAAAGACCTTCATGACTATTGACGTGAGGGCAACTGGAAGATAGTCATTCAGGCAAGAGGGGTTATTGTTCTTAGGCACAGGGATGATGATAGATTTTTTAAAGGGGGTGGGAACCACCGAGGTAGCAAGGGACTCATTAAAGATGGATGTAAACAAACCAGCGAGCTGATCAGCACAGGACCTCAGAACACGGCCAGAAATCCCATCAGGACCTGCTGCTTTCCTGACGTCCATTCGCTTTAGGGCCCCCCGAACCTCGTCCTCCGACACAGTGATTACATGATTATCGCTGCTCTGTCTGCAGCATCCTGACGCGCTGATCAGCAGAGTCGTGCTGCCTCGATTGCATTCAAAGCGGCTGTAGAAAGAGTTTAACTCGTCAGCCAGCGACGGGTCTGCTCTCACAGCTGCAGAGGATTTATTTCCAAAGGTACAGATGGTTCTCAGTCCCTGCCACATGCGTCGAGAGTCATTGAGCTGAAAATGAGACTCTATTCGTTCCCTGTATCGGAGTTTGGCGGCTCTTACCGCCCGTTGGAGATCATAGCACGATGCTTTGTACTCATTCATGTTCCCCGACGACAGACCGGCGTTGTATAGTAAACAGTGCGTTTGTTTACTGCGGCACGGATTGTTCTGTCCACTCACGTTTTTGATTTGAGAAGGTCCTTACAGTTTTTGTATCTGTTGCTTGTTCGGTTAGCGTGTTTACAAAGCTTAATGCTACATCTGTGAACTCGCTGACGTCAGATGAACTAGCTCGGAACATGTCCCAGTCGACATCATCAAGAGTGTAGCATAACTTCTGAGTGGGAGGACCAGCGTGTCACTACTCTCTGCACCGGGGGTCCTTGAACAAGCTTTTGTTTATATTCCGGTGTGAGGAAAATGGCGGCATGGTCCGATTTGCCAAAAGCCGGTAGTGAGCGAGCTTTGTAGGCATTCTTAAACTGAGAGTAGCAATGATCCAGTGTATTCGGACCTCTGGTTGGACAGGATATATGTTGATAAAAGTTCGGCATGACCTGCCTGAGGTTGGCTTTGTTAAAGTCCCCCGCGATGATAAAAGCAGCGTCAGGATGTTTGTTAATGTAACCGCTGAGCACATCGTGAAGCTTAGACAAAGCCAAGCTGGTGTCTGCCTGTGGTGGAATGTAAACAGCAGTAACAACGATTGATGAAAACTCCTGGGGCAAATAGAATGGGCGGCAATTAATGGATAAATGTTCCAGATGAGGCGAGCAGGAGCGCGGCAGAGTGGAGATATTCCTGGGGTCACACCATTTGTTGTTAATCATGAAACACACTCCACCACCTTTGGATTTACCGGGCCTCGGCTGTTCTGTCCATGCTTAAAACAGAGAAGTTATCAGACGGCGTTAAAGGCAGTGTCCGGGACCAAGGTCGTTAGCCATGTTTCAGACAAACAAAGGGTGTTACAGTCCCTAATGTCCCGTTGGAAACTTATCCTGGCTCTAAGATCGTCCAACTTATTCTCTAAGGATTGGACATTGGCAAGCAGAATGCTTGGCAGAGGAGGGCCGTGTGCTCTTTTCCTCAGTCTGTTGCGAATCCCAGCACACTTCCCGCAGTGTTTCTTAATCCGTCGCCGCGGTGGGTTATTCAAGTGGCAATTGTTCATCTCGGCGTTCCGGAGAATCTCAGATGGCCACGATGGGTTGGAGGATAAAGTGTCCTGAAACAGGTTAGTGTAGCGGTGTCCAATGTCCAAAAGTGTTCTTTTGTTGTAAGTGATCAGTGCAGACAATATGTGTGTAAAAAGAGAGAGCAAAAGAAAGTACAAAAGTAAATAAAAGCACAATCTAAGTGGAGCGACCTGGACGACATCCGAACTCAGCGGCGCTATCTTGGTATCATGCTTGTGTGAAATGCCACTCTGAATGAAAGGGAGTATAAACAGGGCTTGAAATCTCACAGAAAGGGTGCGCTAAGGTGTTGTACCTGCGGGCTAGTCTGCGGAGCTGCTCGGCACACTCGCGGTCTGATTTCTGCTGCACGAGCTCCAGGATGTTCATGGTGCGATGGAAGTGACCACAAGAGAGGCTCACGCTAACCGCCGTCTCATGCTTGTCACCGGTCAACACCCACACCTTGATCCCAGCAAGTCGCAGAGATTCAATCGTTTCCTGGACCTTGTCCTGCAACCTAGACACGAACACACACACACACACACACACACACACACACACACAGCAGGTCAGAGCATCTGAATTTTATAGCCCACAGTAACAACACAACCACAATCAAAAATAATATATTTTGATGCAGTGAAGACTAGGTTTGCTGCTATAGACGGTGTTTTCGGTTACGTCATTTGCCTACCGCAGCACCGCCCCCCACCGTCGTTTAGATTTTTTTATAGTAACAAAAATAATTTAGCCTAGTTCAGTTAGAGGATAGACACTTTTAAAAACTAAACGCTAAATGCAGCGTGCCGAACCGTGCGCGAATGACAGTGCATCATGGAGCAGGAGTCAGATTTTATTTATCACGTGAGGAGAGCGAGTTGAGCTGACTGACAAGAGTGAGGTGAGAAAGACAAGATGATGGCAGAAGATTGTTTAGAAAGGAAATGCAAAGGCACCTGTTTGGCAATATTTTAGATTTTGAAAAGCCTATTGACTGGAAGTTTTTTTTAAACATTTGTTTCTTATTTATTTGGTTCCACAGTGTTTACTGATTACTTTATTTAAACTTTGTTTATTTTATTTTACATCAAGGTGTATATGCCGTGCCTCCAAGCTTTCTTATTAGTTTTGCTAATAAACATTCTATATTTCTTATTTATTTGGTTCCACAGTGTTTGCCGATTCTCAGTTTTATATACCTATTTAAACTTTGTGTAGCCTAAGTAATTTGTTATTTTATTAGGCATATATGGTGATTACGTGATATGGTGATATACGCTGATTTGAAAGTGAAAGTAAAATGTGCACGGCACTTTTTCAAGCTATTTGAAAGCCAAGAAATCAGAGGAAAAGAGGGAAAACTCAAATGAACAATTGCTTGACACCGAACTGCACTTTTACAAGCCATTTGAAAGTGAAGAAAAGAGGGAAACTCAAACGAACTAACTTGCTTTATTACTGATTAAAATTGTATAATATTATTAATAAAATATTTTTATTACTTTTATCATTGATATACTATTTTACCATTGTACTATTATACTATTGATCTATATTATTTTTGTTAATATTTTTAATAAAATTTTCATTAGATTTTATTTTTACATTTTCTGATTTCATTTTAATTTGAATTAAAGTTATGAATTTTTTTGGTTCGTCTTTTTAAAAAAAAAAATGTTTTAAGAAATGTTGCCGTTTGCAACTAGCTGAAATTAAATATATGTATAATAATAATAAATATAAATATAAATAAATAAATGTTAATATTTTATTTCACATCAGTTAATGCTTTTTTTCAAATGGTTTTTATTTTAAGTTAATGAGAATAACGCTGGCACACACCACTGATCAGACTAAAACTAACAGAAAATTTACTTAAATCTTTTTTTATATAATAAAAAAACCTTTCACACAAACATTAAACAACGTACCCTCAATGATGTGTATATAACCAAGTGGGAATTACTTTTTTAATCTTGCTGGAAAGTTGTCTTTATTGTTTTTTCATCAACAACATGAAAATCAAGGCACTTTTTATCAATTATACAAATTATACAATGACTTTAATTTATATTATTAAAGTTTTGTTGTTTTTTATATTTTCTGCACTAATGGCCATCCATGGAAAACAAAATGACCAATAAATAAAAGTCATATGGTTGGTACAACTGTCAAGCATCTGATTCACTCAATATACAGTGGGTACGGAAAGTATTCAGACCCCCTTAAATTTTTCACTCTGTTATATTGCAGCCATTTGCTAAAATCATTTAAGTAAATTTTTTTTCCTCATTAATGTACACACAGCACCCCATATTGACAGAAAAACACAGAATTGTTGACATTTTTGCAGATTTATTAAAAAAGAAAAAATATTTTTATGTTATTTAATAAAATATATATTGTGGAATGATTCCTTTAATATGGAGTTTCTTGTCTGGATTATTTTTATTTTTTTTGGGTACACAAAATAGTAAATGAAGGATCAATTCAAATAAGCTTGTGCATTTCCTTCACAGAAGTTCAGTAGTATGTTCTGAACTGTATATTTTAGCCTTAACTTTACACAGTAATAAACTGGTGGCATTTTCTCTCGAGACAGCAGCATTATGCTGTAGAGAATGCCAAACACATGACTGCAGATGTAGTCACGGCTTGTGGTCTTCCCTGAGGCCCGATTAAATGTGCAGATTAACAAGCAGCTATTCACATTTGACACACACACAAACAGCTCACCATCACCAAAGCAAAACTCAAACCATCTAGATATCTACAGTCATCATGTGTGAAAGTGCCTCACTGATTGTGTCTTCATCAAGTTATAAATGTGTTTTTCCTGATTACTCTTACACTCTCTGACCCTTAAAGGGTCATGAAACCCCAGACTACTTTTTCTGAGAGTTTAGCAGAGGTGTTTGTGTTGCACATCATAGAAGACAACGTTAGCATCCAATAATTTTAACTGTTGGAGAAAACTGTTAATTTGAGTTAATTTTAAGCTTTTTTGCACTATTTTCATCTTCCGGGTTTAAAATCTACATTGTGTTGACGTCCCAATTTGTGACGCGGCAATGGACTATAGTACATCGATGACGTGTCGGTGTCTAATAAATTATTCATGAGACTGCGTGTTCTTATCCTATGAGAAGAGGCTTTGCTTAATTATTCACAACAGCATGTGTTGATTTGCTATGACAGACGTTTCAGACTGTGAGACTGCGTACATTAACTGAGAGAAACGTTAATGGTTCGATTGGAAGGAGAGCGTTTGTTTTTGCTTTGTAATAAGAGTTCGGCACAAACGCGATTCATTCACTTGATGAGCATAACCGTTTTTACAGCTCTGTGACACAACCCGTCAAAAGGCTTATATAACACCACAGAATAAGCCTTAAAAGTTCTCAGAGGTGCAACAGCGCGTTCATTTGTTTTCGATGCAGAGTGCAAATGGCTGTGCATTTATTTGTGTTTTTAACTCGATGGGAGCGAAATGAAACTGTCTGAACACTAAGCTGTGTGTGGTGTCGTCTGTCTCCCCTCTTCCCCCTCCTCTGCTCCGCTGCACACCACACCACACCCACTTTTTTAGCATTTTTTAAAACTGTGGTGAGAACTAACCAGTGCTGAAACGAGGGGGTTTCATGACCCTTTAAGGTACAATCACAGTAACATTATGTGACGTACTCATTTCAACAGGAATTCACACCACTGGGATTTTTGCATGAGGATGAAAGATTTCCACGTGCAGATTTCACAATGGATTCAGCTGGTTGCACCAATTTGTTATTATTCTTCTATTTGTTTTGCTTGACAAATCTTGTGTGTGTGTGATGTGTGTATATACAGTGGGGCAAAAAAGTATTTAGTCAGCCACCAATTGTGCAAGTTCTCCCACTTAAAAAGGTCTGTAATTTTCATCATAGGTATACCTCAACTATGAGAGACAAAATGAGAAAAAAAAAATCCAGAAAATCACATTGTATTTGGATACACATTGGATTTTTAAAGAATTAATTGGTAAATTCCTCAGTAAAATAAGTATTTGGTCACCTACAAACAAGCAAGATTTCTGGCTCTCACAGACCTGTAACTTCTTCTTTAAGAGGCTCCTCTGTCCTCCACTGGTTACCTGTATTAATGGCATCTGTTTGAACTTGTTATCAGTATAAAAGACACCTGTCCACAACCTCAAACAGTCACACTCCAAACTCCACCATGGCCAAGACCAAAGAGCTGTCAAAGGACACCAGAAACAAAATTGTAGACCCGCACCAGGCTGGGAAGACTGAATCTGCAATAGGTAAGCAGCTTAGTGTGAAGAAATCAACTGTGGGAGCAAATATTAGAAAATGGAAGACATACAAGACCACTGATAATCCCCCTCGATCTGGGGCTCCACGCAAGATCTCACCCCGTGGGATCAAAATGATC